CAATCCCCACGCGATGCCGGGGTTCGGTGCTGGGCTGTGCCAGAGCAAAAACCAAGACCACTATGACCAAAAAAGCTTGGACAGGGCGCAAAGTGTTCAAGTCGCGGAGTTCGGGCCACGCCACATCGCAAGCCGACTCGGGTCCATTGCACCCTCTGTGCCGAGAAAGACATCAGTCACCCGCAGGTGCCGCAGGGAACCGAAACGGAGGATTGTGGAAGGCCAAGGTGTCAGCGCTGGACGTGCCGGGGGGGGGGGGGGGGGGGNNGGGGGGGGGGTGGCTTAAATAGGGTCTATTTGGAAGCTGGCACTCGGGTTTTTAAACTGTTGGATAGGCTTTCACGAAGGTATGCTGCTGTTACGTTGGGAGTTAGATGGATGACTTCTCCAGGTAACGAACCTTCCGCTTAAGCATATGAACGGATCACCCGCCGATCGTATCAATTAGGCTAATAATCGCATCGAGCATCCAGACTTGTGTACAACCCGATCAGCCGCGTCGAATCCGGGCTTCCGCCACTGCCTACGTTTAGGGTTTAGGGCCCAAGGCTCGATACTTTGCTCCACGGTCAGGGGCATGGTCGCGATACAGTTATCGTCTACACTGAATTCCAGGACGATGCTCTCCCAGCGGAATCCAAAAGTATGCGAGGAATTCGTGCTCTCTCTGAGATGCAGTGGCGTGGGAATGGCTACCCGGTCACCATTCGACAATCGGAATTGCACTTGCCCAGCTGGAGTAAACGGCTTCCGGCAGACCATACACGTGCTGCTTTTCGGGGTATTGCGATAATCTGCACGTCGCAAGGCCAGGACCAGAAAGTGCGCACTCGAAGGAAGCCGCACATGCAAGGAAGCTTGGTGACAAGTTTCTTGTTCCGTTTTCCAGTACATGATGCTCGGGGAGGTTGGCGGACTTCCCTGCGGACCGATCATGCACGGCAGATATCCTCCCTTTCCCTGCAACCAGACTTTCTCCCCGAGCGATGATACCACATGAAGTAGAGAGTGCGAGCACGACACTGTCCGGATGCCCTGTGCCCAAGCTTGCAGAAGGTTCCCGAAGAAAACCGAAAGCTGACAAGGAGTCGGTCCTTCAACTCCAGATCCACGCCATGCCAGAAGTTGCTTTGCTGAACATACTCTCTGAATTCAGCGTTGCAGCTCGCCAGACACAGAAAGTCTTGCAGGCTTCCCAGCCATGAAACATGCAAAGGAGTCACACTCAGCAAGTTCAATGTTCCCCCACGCAAGTCCAGTGCTGACAGAAAGAATTTTGTGCAGATCTCCGTCGGCAGAAAGCAACTGCTGCTCATGCTGTGATGATGAAATGTTGAGTTACCGAAGACGGACACAGCCGCTTGGGCCCACTGCTGCACATCACAGTCCTGCAATGACAGCATTCCAAGACAGCGCCCATCGAGAAAGACTTCCAGTCTGTGATTATACCATTGTACCTGCAGAATGCGGTCGGGCATGCACCGTGGGATAGTCGTGACGAACTTATCGCTGGGGCGTCCAAGGCGACCGTGCCCGAGTTCAATCACCACAGTATCCGCGAAGGGTGCGGTAATTTCACACCAGCAGCGGTCACCGGCTGGATGGCAGCCTCCAATCGAGATCACGACACGCTGTGAGTAGTCAGTGCTACATAAGCGGAAGTAGACCGGTGAAAGCGTGGGCTGCCGCGTGCTCCACTTCCGGATGACTGAGCCGCAGACACTCCTCTCAGTTGCTTGCACGGGCCAGCCCACAGCCACGATGCGAGAACAACCTATTGCTACGGCCAACAATGACTTACTAGTCCCCAGCCAGTTCACGTCCACCGCCGCTGCAGGCAGAACACCCGCATGCCTGTCGATCCACACATCTGGGGATGTCACTAATTCCCGTGTTTCGCGGCAGACACGTTCCAACTGCACGGCCGAGCGAACATCCCCTAGACGGTGGACGACCTCTTTCGTCAAATGCGTGGCAGGCTCTGGAAGCTCCCACCGGCTAGGTCCGACCCGCCACCAGGACTGCTCTGAATGACGAAGACTCCAGTGCATTGGGCTGGATCAATAAGCCAAACGGACATTTCCTCGTAGCAGAGGAGTGGGGATTGTGTACAACACGTACATGCTCTCTCCCATGCATGCCGCTTGTTGCTCTGGTTGCAACTTCTTCCTTCCTCAACGCGATGAAGTGTGCACCGATGGTCAAGATGAACTGGCCATTGGCAACCGTTGCAATCTGGCTCCATGTCGTCCGAGCGACTGTCTTCCTCGCAACACATCGGTATTAACCGTTCATGATTATAAATGTCCTGTCGCATAACTGAGCCGGACAATATCTGCTTGCCAAGCGACCTGAGTGGCTCGAGGAACGTGCTGCCATCTTGGATCGCCCAGAAAGGGCCATCGCTTGCGTAGTCCACCTTGTAGCCATGCGCACGGAGCGTGTCGATCAGGCACACGTCTTGAAACTTCTGCTCCACGCCTCGTCAACTCGCACGACATGTGTGATCCGTTTAGCTTATTGCCTCTAGACAACCGGAGAGAACTCCTGTCGAGGGGCCCGTCGACGGCGCTTCGTAAAGATGCGACTTCTTCATCATGACCATACCTTTAGTTCCGACAACAAAGCCAATGGTTCTCTGCACCTTGTTTTAAAAGCTAAGTTTCTCGATCGGTGCTTGGCCCGCTGACACCGCAGCGCCCACATTCGTCTTGTCAACGACTTCGGACGTAAGTCTTCCTGCCATGTAACATCTGCTGGGAAGCAATCTGACCTTCTGTTTCCAAACTACACATGAAGTATGTGTCCGTGGTACCTTCGGCGCTGGAAGATGGATACTGCTTGGCCGGTCACGCATCCAGATGCTGTTCGCCAAGGAATCCCGCGCACATGTTCCCTCGTATATCGACATAGGGCTCCCAGTGTCTGCGAGACTGCGGCACACCTCGTGGACACGTGAAGCAAAACACGGTCATCGTGGGAAATCATTACCCGCGAGATGCAATGAGAGTAGAAAGGACGCCAAGACCTGCATACACTGTCATATTCGGCCTGCTTCTGACAGAATCCGAGGCTCGTCCCTGCATTTTTGCAAAGGTAGTGACGACTGCTCCGCAGCAATCTCCCGGGCCGGACCAGCGGCCTCGTTCCTTAGTCAGCAATTGGATCTGCCTCCCGTGTGAAAAAACAACTGTGTTTCCGATATTCGCCTACCGTCTGCATTTTTGCAAAGGTAGTGACGACTGCTCCGCAGCAATCTCCTCGGCCGGCCGGACCAGCGGCCTCGTTCCTTTTCTGATGCCCCGGACCCTCCCGAACCCCACCTCTTAGGATTTAAATTATTTAAACTATTTACATTCGCGGGAATTTAAGTAATGTAAACAATTTAAATGTTGGAGGCCCCCATTTAAATTGTTTGAATTATTTAAATTCGCGGGAAGTTAAATAATCTAAATAAGTTAAATAATCTAAATAATTTAAATCCTAGGGAGACCCCTGGGCAGGGGTCGGGCCGCGAAATTTATAGAATTTAAATAATGTAAATATTTGGTGACCCCCAATATTTAAATTGTTTGAATTCTGATGCCCCGGACCCTCCCGAACCCCCCCCCTCAGGATTTAAATTATTTAAATTATGCAAATTATTTTCATTGTTTAAATTCCCAGCCCGACCCCACCCGGAAACCCAAATAGGGTCTATTTGGAAGCTGGCTCTTGTATATATATTAGGGATTTAGGTCACTTTTTCCTATCTAGAATACGAGTGCCAGCTTCCGAATAGACCCGGTTTAAGCCGCACACGGGGGGGGGAGTCGGCCATAGTCGGCCACTATCGGCCACTCAGATGGTGGGATTGTGAGGCGAACGAAGCCGCACCTCGTATTATCGGGAAGGCTTTGGAAACACGTGGCGTGCACAAACTGCCATCGAATATCATCGAATGGAGTTCACTAGCGGAAGGGGCTTCGAGCTGCATATGAGGATGACACGATTGATTCGCCAGTAAATCCTGCGGGCCTACGGGTTCGGCAGTGTCTTCGGCTCCCTTGCGCTCTGGCGCAGCGGCGTCAGCAAGGGCTGAGCCGGAAAGAGTTGGCTATGTCCAGGAAATATCAATGCAAAGCTCATCTGAACAATGATCACCGGGGCTCTAAAGTACTAGGAAGCCCACAGACTGCCCCCTGCCCGAACTGCACATACAACGGCCTGTAGCCGGCAACTTTCAAACCGTCTTTACAGCGAACTCCGAATTGCGCCACCGGACAGCCTTCTGAACGGAGGAGATCTCGAAGGTCTCTTACTCCGAGAGTTCGCAGTTCCTGCAAAGGTGCAAAGGTGCAACTGCACGACAGCCACAGCTTGTGTGTTGCGGGATTCCTCCATGGAAGATGGCACGCACCGAGCTGGCGGATTAGGATTCTTCGCTGCGTTGAAAAACATCGAGAGCCTCAGCAGAGACTTTTGTGGCTGTCCACAAGGGCAAGATCACTATGATCATGTGATCGTGAGGTTTACCTGTAGGCTTTCCAAGTCACGGGTATATAGACCCGAGATGACCCGAGAGAACGACGAGATATGAAGCGCAACACTTCGCTCTAGACCGTCTACCTTTCAGGCCTTCGAAGTAGAGTGCTGCGCACCTGCGACTGAGACTGAAGCTGCATGAACGTTAGCCAGGAATCTGGCCGTTGGCTTTCTTGTTACTGGCGGTGAAGTATTCATCACAAGGCTTCTGCTCACCTACTCCGACTCGATGTCCTGAGGACCGAGTTGGTGCAGACGGATTCCGGAGAGTCGCTCTACCCTCTACCCTACTCGGCTGATCCTGGCTGACCTTCGGATAATCTGCTGGGAAATATTGATCCTGCAACCTGCGGATGTCGGAAGACACCGAATCGACGTAAATTGCCATGCCCGAGACAACGTCACCAAACGCAAGCGAGTCTACTATGCAAGCACATTGACACACTAGATCGAATTGAAGCAATGTTCCTCATCATGACTGATCTTGTTGAGTCGAGGAGCTGCTGATGTGCCAGGCTGTGCCCCATCCTCTCATCAAGCACTGCGGTCACATCCACATACTGATATTCGACATCCAATCCGAGTGTGAGACGCGGCAGACTTCTGTGCCCACTTCAAAGCTTCTTGGTAGTCTACCTGCGGGTGCACAGGTCTATCCGATTTCGCAGTGCAACCGGATCCAGGAGGTTGCACTTACGATTTGTGCGGCTCCAGTGTGGCGACAAGGACACAATGTCGCACCTTGACACCACCACTGCCGCGCAGGAGGGCCAAGCCATAGTTCAGCATACCCTCAGAAAAGCCAGTCTACAAACAGCAGTCGCCTGACAACTCGTAAAATTCTATGGGATATGTCTGAATGGTTAACTTCAGTGACTTCAAGCCTCGGCAGCACCTCGCTGCGCCGCATGCCGAAACAATCGAACAGCTTTCGCTTCGTCCTTCACCACTCCCATACCTCGAAGCACGTTGAGGCTCGAGGGCTCAGAGGAATGACAAAACAGTCATGTTGAAATCCAACGCAAGGGATCGCAAGGTACCAAGGGCCGCGTGACCCGATTGAACCGATCAAGCGGAAAGAGAGTCAAAAAGATTTAATTTCCACTCCAGCAATAATCTTCTCCTTGCTGTCAACGAAATGGCTTCGCAAATATTCAGGCTTACCGAGCAAAGCACCATTCACCAGCAGGTGCCCCAGATTGCTTAAAGCCTGTGCAGGGGCTCGGTTGCTTCAAGTCGAAGGTGAGCAGGAAGGGAAATCTGCACCTGCGCATCTCCTTGATGAGCTGCCCATTTAGTGTAGCGGAGCGATTGTTGCAGGTCCTGCGTCATGCCGACTGACTGCTTCGTCAAGTCTTTTGTTCCACCTTGAATGAACTCTGGAATTCGAATCTGCGTGGGGCCAAGGCAACTCCTAAGTCCTAGCTTCATGATCTCAGTGGCCTGTAATGGCCGACATGCAGAACGCGACCCTCACTGAAAGCGCCTTCGAAGAGTCACACTTGTGGCTTGCCCAGCTCATGTAAGGCTGTTCGACAGATGACAAGAGCTTCGGGCTCCTTGGGGAACTTGTGCTGCCCTTCTCTGTACATCTCTGCCACCTCGTCATCTGTCACAGTGGCATCTTTCCAAAGCAAGCTGTCACAAAACTAAACACAGGTGCACTCCTGGAAGCACGCTCTGGGATGTCCTTTCAGGCATGCTGCAAGCAGTTTGGTAGCCTCAGATTTGCGAAAGACCGCTGCAACTGCCAGAACTTCTCCCAACTCAGGACCCAGCACCGTCTCTGTCGCCTTCCTGCAACAGCCTTTGGCCCAGGAAAAACCTTAGTCTGCGAGTGAAGAAACACTAGTGGTGGTAGCCCTACCTTGTTCACCCCTACGCGTAGGATTCCTGCCCTGCATCAGGGTCATCTTGCTCGAAAGCAAGACGCAGCAACCGTTTGCCCTCGACAACATCCTGGCAAGGCACCCGCTCGTTGAACAAGACCGTCAGAAGAACTCGTCCTGTTGGATGCGACCATGTACACCTTGCACCAACAAGCCACCGTAGCGGCTTTGTGACCTTGAGCAGAAAGGACTGCTACAGCAACATCTCGCAGGCTTCAAAAAACACGGGCCGCAACCGACTGTGACCAAGCTCTGCAGCTCTCTGCCACAAGGACAGTGCTGCATGGGTTGACTCCTTCAATTTTGGGGAACGATTTGCATGTTCTGGCATGGATTTTATTAAATGATTGGTTCGCTGTCGTCCGTCTATCCCATCCCTCAAAATGTGGTGCCGCACTTGAGCTTCTGCTTCAACATTTAGACTTCTTTGTAAGTCTAAGCCTAAGCCGCTCTCGAGCTCTCAAATCCAAAACCGCAGAAGTCCTGCAAGCCAGATCCCGCAGGAGGCTCCCAGAACCACTCCGCTGCGGTAAACATTGCTTCTGGGTGGTCACCATCACATGCCTGCAAGGAACATTGCGACTGCAAACCTCCTGTGAATAGAAGAATTCACCGCACCCTATCCGACAGCCGTCTGAATACAAGGGATCCGCGAAAGCCTATGCCACATCCACATGCCGACGGCACGGGCAGGTTCGCGCCTTGTCCAAAAAAGCTTTAGCGCGTCGGAAATCTTTGGCAGAAGCCAGAGACAAGGCCAAACCATATAATGCCGATTCGTTGTCTTTATCCACGTGGGTCCTCGCAGTCACAACCGATGCGCAGTCCTAGCTCAAGACACCAAGTCTCCAAAGAGACTTGTGTTCGTTCATGCTCAATCACGTCCTACAGCACCATGGATGCGTCTGCGTCTTTTGTCAACCCGTTGTGGGTTTGAGTACATGTAAGTGTTCACTTAGGACCTAAGATGCAGACACTAGTTTCGCAAATGCCTGTACCAGGGACAGGTGCCATCCAGCGCAGCTTCTGCGGAGTCTTTGAAGTGCAGGACCAGTTCGTAGCGAAATCCATCTTGCACGTCCGTGCCATGATGAAGGTCGTATTGAAACATGCACAGGTCCCCTCGTTCAAGTTGTACAAATCTTCTGTCCAGAAATGCCTTCTCAGAGCCTTGCACAAACAAACCTCCAGTACTTGTTGCGGGCTCCTGCAGGGAGACCACGACCACGGCAAAAGCTCCATGTTCATGGTGTGGAGCTATAAACCGACGTTCCTCTGGCACAAAACGTCGAAAAAACGCCGACGAAAGCGCAGCCGTGGGAGAATCATAGTGCTGCCTGACCAAAGGAAGCAAAACAGTTTCAACCAGCGGGCGCAGTGCTGAGGACGATGTCGACGACATCGTCTCTGAAAACAAACCCATGTCGGCAAGCTTCACGGCAAAGCTTGGGTGTCCATCCACAGGGTCAGGATCCCTCCCTCTCCCATTTCGAATCTCCTCGCTGAGCACTTGGCTGCAGCCCGAGAGTAGCTGTGCAACTTCGTTGTCCGTAAATATGCCCTTGAAGACGGAGAATCTGGCCTCCCCCTGCATGTACAGCTTTGGCACGGACCCACGGTATTCCACAGCACCACAACGACCACCTGTTGAAACGCTCCGCGGCGGCTCTGAGAAGATGTAGGGTCGCACCTGAGTGGGGATGCGGTCAGGGCCAGGATGGGCCAGGGCTCCTGTATACCCGAAAACTTCTCACTGCCAGGAAGTAGCCGGCACAGCTGCCACGAGCTGGTCAATAGTCCAGGAGTCAGCCGCGGAGACCGTGGACCCGCGCAGTTTACCCTGCACCGATCACAAGTCCGTAATTCAGGTAACTCCACATTCCGCTCTCTGTCTTCCCGGCCTTCCCTTCTCCCGCGGCATAACCTCCGTCCCTGCTAGCGCTGCTAGCCATCCCTGCCTCCATCATGCTTCAAGGGCCTTAGCCGAAAACCACGCAAGTGATCCGAACTGGAGTGAGAGAAGAAGAGCTACGCCGGCACAAGTCTGCCAAAAGGAGCCGCAAGCCTAGTCAAGCTGAAAACGGCTAAGGGCGCTACGACTGGCCATGGCATTGGAGCATTCTTGCTGAAGCCACGTCTTCGATCAGTCAAATCCATGTGTTCATGTATCAAGCCTATACTTAGCCCTGCAATCCGCAACGGCTTCTTCACTTCTTGTCTGACTTTGCATGTCTGGAAGTCACCGATCAAGCTTCTGCAAGGATGGTGTCTCCAAATCACTATCAGGCGTCGTGCGGCATCATGCTGGCATCATGCACAAGCTTCTCCGGTGGGGAAGGCGCCTCTGGGCACCTTCCGTACATTGACAAATGGGCCGTGTCCTTTCCCGACCACCAAAATGGCCAGTCCTAGGAGTCCCAGCGGCCTCTCTAGCACTTTGAGCCCATGCCTCCGCCTCGGCCCTTAGGCTGTTTTTTAACTTTGTCTTAAATTCACAGGCCCAACGTACTTCTGAGGCTACCATGACCTACGTGTGGTGAAACCAGCCGAACCTTTGCATCCCATCATGCATGTCAGCAAAGATCGGCGAACACTGTCGACGTCAATTTTGGCCCCAGCGGGTAGCGTTATTAGCACCCTCTTTCTCTTCCAGCCACTCAACCTCGGCGAAGTGCCATTACAAAATTGAGACAAGCTTCAGCCATGAACAGCAGAGAGCTGAGATGAGCTGAGAGAGGCTAACTGCCGCTTCCACAGAGCTCGTTCGCTTGGCAGCTTCTATGGCCTGCGAGGGCCAAGCAGCGACGGACCCCACCTCTAGACTTCAACTTCTGGTCGAATGCACGAAATGTCCAAGGCCTGATGCCAGGAATAGCCGAGCTGCTCCGTAAGCTTTCGGACGAGCCCGTTCGAAGCCTATTGTGCGGCAATCAATCTGCAGATCGCATCGAGTGCGTCGCAGCAGTTCGAAACCTTGACAGGCCTTCGACGTGGACGAGTGCGCGGCAGAGGAGCCTCGATCACGGCAATGGGCGACTGTGCGCCCAACTCGCTGTGGGCTTTGTTTGATACGTCTCCGCTACAAAGGCCCACTACGCTCTCAGAGAGCCTTTTGATCCTGAAGCTCCCTACATGGTCACGTTGTCAGGGATCACGAAGTGCCCTTGCAAATCTTGCAAACTGGGGTCGATCTTGCTCACGAGGTTATGCACTTCTGGTCATCTCAACAGGGCAGTCAGCCGATGGTTCTTCGGGAGTCTGGAAGCCATGCGCCAGGTGCCGCTGCGCCTTGTTGTGACCCGGAGTGTCCGTCGGAGGAACTATGCCTTTGAGGGAACAGACGGAGACTCGACGCGGGTTCTGAGGGGACTCGAGGCGGAGGCGAACTGGCAGAGCTCCTGGCGACAGCGAAAGCGGCGAAAGCGCGGACCGCAAACGCAATGAGCACTAAGAGCACTTTGCTTTGCTTTGCTTCGCTCTCCGCTGGCCTGGCCACGGCTTTTGCGGCAGGTCCTCGGTCCTGGCGCCCCCCGCACTTCCCAGATCTTCCCCATGCCACAGCTTTTCTAGCGGTCCGGGCGAAGTACTCGAGGTAAAGGCCGGTCATACCCTCCAGCCTCTGCCACAGGCTTAGAGGGGGGAAAACTTCTTGACATGCATGGCTGCCCTTGCGCCTGCCGGTCATAAGCTTCACTGCCTCACTTGATCTCTTGAATCGCAGCAACTTCTACAAAGAGTCATGACATTGCAAACAGGCTTGAGGCTCAGGATCACACCAGAATGCTTCACTGGACTGACAGGATCGTCAAGCGATTTTAGCCTCTCCTGACTCCAGCCTTTGCAGGCAAGAACAATCGCTGAGTACCTCGCTTAAGACTGGTTCGCCAGGAGTCACGCGCTTTCTGCTTGGACTACCAGAGCTATCAAAAGCAGCTCCGAAAGCCACTTCTCCCTGACACAGAAGGGGCGAGTTAGTTTAAATCTTGTCTGGAATCCGCTGGCCTCAGGCATTTCATCAGAGCTGTCACTGGCATCACTCTGAGCGACTTCGGGAAGAAAGCCGTGGGCCTTGGCTTCAGCTCACAGTCTTGAGCCACTTGACTAGAGTCACTAGATCTTCGCGCCGAGAGCAAGGCTGGCAAAGGTCCCGGACCCTCTGTGGGAAGGGCTGCCGTGGCCAGGACGCAAGTCCTCATGCTTCCATGCTCACGGCTCAAGCTGCACGCTGCACTCTTGGACGTCTGCCAAATCGAAACAAGTTGAATGACAAGTCCTGGGAGGTATCAGATCCAAGCGTGTCCCAGGTGGATGCATCTGGGACAACCAATCAACCATGCTGCGCGGCCACCATCTCAGCATGAACTCGTGCCTGGTCCGACTGGCTACCGACCTGGCAAACTGCATGTTGTTCCCCACGGTGCCGGAAGCTCGTGCATGGGATCCCGAGCCTGAGGTGTCTTGAGTTGAGCACGAGGCGTCTCGATCTCGACCTGCAGAGGCTCGAGGCTGCGCAAAGTGAGAAGCTCAAGGTGTCTGACGAGCCTTTCGCAGGAGCTCCTTGCCTTCCTCGAGTCGCCATTTGCCCTGGACACCCGGACTTTAGCCGCGCCGGAAAGCTACGCCTATGGTGCATTAACAGATTGTTTTAGAAACCAAGCTTCAGGAGTCGCACCTCGCTTCGCAGCGATGCCACTGAAGAGACAGACTGTCGGACATGCGGCCACAGGGAGTGGCAAAATTGTTCTTGAAGTTTCCGGCGCCGGAGCCTCTCGTTCCCACACGGGAGTGTCCTCCTCCACTGCCTGCCGAAGGCGCTTCAAAAACAGCACGCAGAAAGCACGCAAGCTGCTTCAAAGCCTGCGGCACTTCTCTACTGAACTGCACTAGAACGCTGCCTTCACGTTGATGATGCGGCTTGAACTGTCGCGAAAACCCCAGTGCACAGTGCCACGTGCAAGCAGAGCTGTTCCCCCGCACCTGGCTGAGCAAGCATCCAGGCCTCGCGAGGCCGAAGAGCCTCTTCAGGCAGCGATTCGATTAGATGCGATTAGGATACGATTTCCCTTCTACTCCCGGCTTCCGACATTCGCCTCGTGGGAAAACTCCCGGGCTCACGGGACTAATCTCCGCATCCTTGGCTTGGCCGATGTTCACGGCACCAGCTCGACATGGACACTGGACGTAGGAGACTAAGGAGACTGCAGTCATAGCAAAGGCAGCAGCAGCTGTACCTGCGCATACTGCGATCTCAGCAAGGCACAGATGGGTTGAGGCGCGTCGACAGCTCCGCTGTAGCGGTGGCAGGTCATCCAAATGCAACCGGACCCCCCGCTCAGCCCACAGCCAAGATCATCACCCAAGCCCAAGTATTGCGAGAAATTCCTGTAGAATGGCTGTCAACGGGTTTTGCTTTCTTTATACATCAAATACGATTCCCATGAGGCTGCCCAGTGCGATTGCAATGCGAGTCCAATCGCCGATACAATGTGCAGCACCATTCTGTCTACGATTCTAAGGCGAGTCGTATCGCATCGGAATCGCGACATCGATACAATTTCAATACGACTCATTCTGGCCGGCCAGTGGCCCGACACACATCTCCGCATCAAGAGGCGTGTTGATATCGCATGTGCAAACCAACCGTGTCCTAATCGTATCTTCCGATCCTAATGAAGTCATATTGAAACCATGAAAAACAAATCTCAGTACCCATCTATCCATCCTGCAGTCTTCTCCGGCGACAACCCAAGTAAAAACGCAAGGGCCTCACAAGGGCAAGCGAGATACCAAGTCAATCCTCCTCAACTTAAGATAACATTGGTTCAAAGTGGCAGCACGTGCTTTACGCAAAGAACCCTGACGGCTAGAGCGAGAGTCACTGGATGGTGTAGCCGTCGAGGAGGTCGAACTTTGCTTAAAGGGAGAGCTTCCGCCTGCAGGCGGCCATAAACCCTTTACTGAGCCACAGTATTTTGCGGCTTGGCCTCGGCTCTCCGACTTTGGACTTCCAGCCAGCCGCGAGTTCTCTAAAGGCTGTGATGCCGAAAACTCCTCCGGAGGGCATCTCTTTCAGGGAGAGAAACTTCTACAAGTACGGCCGCCTTCGGAGGATCAGCGCTCTCAGCGATTTCTGGTGGCATCCTCACACAAGCACACGCCTTTGCTACCTGCATCAATGCAAACTTCCACGGCATTGTGCAAGTGCCTTTTCTCCGAAGAGTGGAGAGCAATGAAGGTCTCTTTGCCTCAACGGCCACGGAGTTCTCCAGCCAGCTATGTCCTACGTGCTGAGGAAGCTGCTTCTTGCTGCGGCCAGGACGTCCTGTCATTCACAAACAGGCCCGTCGTTGGGACGAGCTCTTAAGGGTTACCACGCACATTCAGCATATTGAATCGTGATGCCACGGACTCCTTTGCATAGAGCTTGCACTGCGCAACAACCTTCGCTCGCTCTTCGCGTGTAGCAAAAGCTTGTTGCCGCTGCACGCAGCGCTGCAGCACTCAGAGGCGTGAGTCAGTTGAGACTGCCACCCAGTCATTCTGCAGGCACTCGTCCAACCTCAAAGGACATATTCTGCTAACAGGGCAAAAAGTAGTGCGAAGCATGTTGTGCCAACCCGTCAGCACCAATTGCCCCGAGCTACGACATTCTGTTTTCGGCTTCCTGTTGCATGAGTCCGAAGAGGATCGGGTGAACTGGCGGTGGGACCTGCGCGGTAGAAGAGACATCAGAGCACGCGACGAACCGCCTCGCAGACGGCCTCGTCCAAAGACACCGCGTGAAGACCAGGCCCCACAATGGCCCTCAGCTACAGGTACTGTTTTCCTGGCTCGCATCTTGTGCGTTCCTGGACGCTGAGTCCACAGCTTGCACGTTTCCATGAGGCCCTGTCCTCTGTCGAACGGCGAACACCCCGTCAATATCTCGAAAAGAAGCACCTCGGCAGCGTCACGCAAACATCCGTAATCTCAGAAGAGACACATGCCAGAACAGGCTGAATGCTGAGGCTGTCACACCAACGGCCCAAACCTGGTCTCTTTAAACTGCAAACTCAAGAAGCGGAAACACAGCTCAGGCAAAATCACCATCCGAGTATGAATCATCCACTCTGGCATCGTATTCTTTGCCAGCAATCATTTCTGGCCTCAGGAACTCCACAAGGAACTCTGAGAAACAAGGAACAGAACGGCGCCTGAGCGCAAAGTTCTGGGTTGAGGAGACGACGCAAGCATGCAGAGCGTGCCGCAAAACGTCTTGCGCGTGTCGTTCCTCGCCGCCTAAGCAATGAAGCCCGCGGCAAGAGCACACGACTGTAGCGTGACACGACTCGTGCACCGGCAGCCTTGGCCGCCCATCCGAAGTCAGCAATTTTCACGGTCATGTCCTGGTCAAGTTGTGATGGGGTTTGATGAGTAGTGCACACGATCATGAACATGCACCACGAGGAAAAGACGGTGCAGTTAGGAAGAACCCAGGGCTGTGAGACCATTTCAGACAAAACATGCAGGAACTCTGGCATTGCGAGCATATAAAGCCAGCGAACGCGAACAGAGGCTTCACGAGAAGCGAGAATTCAAGACTCACGAACTGGCTTTGCCTCGGTCAGCAGGATGTTTTCCGGCTTCAGGTCTCTGTGGATGATCCTGTCACCGGTGAAAAATATATAAACCTGTTGCGAGGGAGTGCAGCAAGCAGTTGAGGTGGCTGCCCTTGATCGTGTAGGTGCCTGACGCCCTCGCAGACCTGTTCGAGAAACTGCTGACCGGTGACTAGACACTGGCACATTACCGGCGCATGAGATGGACTTCGTATGACTTCTTCTTGAAGCTGAACAGTTCTCAACGAACACATTGCAGGAGCATATGCAGCTTGATAAGGCTTGATATCGACTCTGCAATATCTTAGCAGGGAAGCCAAGTGATCCAAGTGGGCCTGTCTGAAGACATGGGCAGCTTGAGGCTCTCTCATCGGACCACGTCTTCGCAAGTGCCTTGGAGGATTTGACAGCAGAAAATGCATCCTCTCGAGCCTTTCGCAGCTCAGCTCTTGACTGATACAGATCTCCCCCTGAAGCTAGTTCCAGGAGTATGTACACCTCAAGAGTGCTCACGTCGACACAACTTGCCGTGCCGTCTCACCCAGAGACGGTACACCCGGCTTGGCTTGCCTAGCAAAGGCAGTGCCTACGGATTGCCACAAGCAGCTGCCAGGGAGCAGGCGGTGTCACGCTCTGTAAAGTAGTCGAAGCACCTTGACTGCATCTTTCCTCCACTTAAGCCAAGCAAAATTAAAGCCGGGCGCCTGAGAAGGTTAGGATGAGAAAGTGTTTTCTGCGTCTCGACCTTCGCAACAACATCGACTCGGGAATCCCCACATTGCTTCTGCAACCGTAGAATCCTCAGCATCTCACTTCGGCAATCAATTGGTGCTGAAGGTTGTGGTCCTCATGCAGGTCGCACAAGGTGAAAAGGAAAAGTAAGACATGGACCCCATATTGATTACACCACAGACCGGACCAGAACCAGCTTCTGGTCCACAGCTTTCAAGGCAAAAACCTCACTTGGTCAGCTGTGCGGGAAAACTGCAAAGCCACCTCGAAGAGTCTGCCTGCGGCATTACGACGCCTCTCTCAGTTGGTCACATGTCCAGAAGTCTTGTGCATGACCTTCTTCACCGAACCCATGCCTCGCATCTTGTCTCCATGGGTGCTGTGTGCAACATTGTGCAACTGAAATTCCTTCACTCTGCTTGAGTAGGGCGAAGGAACATTCTCAGTCCGCGGCTTCCTTCTCCAAGCCCCTGCAGCGATACGAAATCGCTTTGACATAACCTGTGCCGGGAATTCGGCAAATCACCGACAGAACTATCCCCGCACCGCCATCACTTGCACTGCCTGCCATTCGACTCCTGCAAGCACACGAAGCACCGAACGCTCCGGGTCCACAATCGTGCAACTCTGGACAAAACAGCATTGAAAAAGGACCAAGGAAAGGAACGAGGCTGCATGCAAAAACTGAAACTATGTCTGGTTGACGCGGCTAGTTCACCACTTGGTGCAACTCGCTCCGATGCTCAGGCCAGGACGGGCAACAGCCCCGATGCAGCAGAAGCCTTTGGCATTGGTACCATGCATTGGCACAGCTTGTATGCCTGTGTCTGTGTGTTCGTTGTCGCTGTTGTTCAGTTCGCTTCTGTTGGTGCTTCTTCCAGCCTGTATATGCAGATGCTGCATTTATGTGACGGGATGATGCATTTTTGTGGGGCCAAGGCATGCAACAAAACAAATTCGATTGAAGAAACGATACCAGAGTTTTTACAGATTGCCATGTGATTCTCATAGCGCCGTGCGCAGCCAAATGGAGAAAAAAACGTCGGCAGAGAACTCATGGCTGGCAGAGACAAAACAATTCCATCATCTCAACTGCCCCTCATTTTCCCAAGACAGCAGAACAGAAATAGTATCCCGGGCAGGCGTTCTGGCAGCGAGACTCAACACCCGCTGAAGGAAATCGCTCGATTTTGTACCGCGGCCACTGCCCCAGACGGCGAAGATGACCTGCAGCTGTGAGTGAGGGCTCTCGGTCATCTCACAGGAGCTGGACGCATGGCATGCACACGTCGCCTTTTTTGCCGTAGCTTCCGTACTTCTGTCTATGCAGAAACTGAGCTGCAGCGCCCTTTGTGTGAGATCCCATCACCGTAAAACTTGCACTGAGCCTATCGATAGCATTGTTCCCGCGAGGGTCAGTTCCCGCTGTTCGCCATACAAGAGGAGCTTGTACTTCATGAGGACCTTAGAACCCTCTACCCCGTCTGCAGTAGACCGTGCACGGCCCCAAGTTGGCTTCGCTTGAATTCCACTCCACTCTCTAGAGCAGTTTGCCACATCTGATACAGGGACGAATGAGACCCAATCTACGCTACATATGCCCCAAGCATTGCAACCCTGGCCGTCTTTATTTCTGCGGCATTAGGCCCACCGGCTTCCCGACTTGGATTTAGAGCACTACTGCCATGTTAGGATGTTTGTGTCTTCGCCTTTTATGCCGCGGCAACTCCTACACTTCTGAACATGCTGACACTTACTTTTGAACCTAACAATCATCTGAGGCCTCAGCACAAGCAAGCCGACGGCCCCTTTCTGTCGGCATGTTTAGGGCTTATAGGGTCATAATAACTTCCAGCCCAGCCGCATGATCTTGTCCAAGCAGCGGCAAGTGCCCAAGCCTGGCTGGAAAATTGTTAGAGTCTCAGAAGTTCGAGCAATGTTGCAACAGCCGCATGTCATGCTCGCAGAAGAGCTGTTCATGCACGCTGTGTCATCTGTGTCGGTCGTTGTCCAGGCTTGCCATGTCCACAAGACAGCACAGGCCCAAGGGCCTAAGTTGCTGCAATCCTGGAATGAACAGCAGCAGTGTGCAGTGCAGCAGTGGCTCCAACGATCCACGCGTGCCTCTGCAAGCCGTCGCTTCCGACGCTTGCACAACGATAACAGAACATGTAGTCTAAACCTGCGCACCAGGGCAATCCGAAGCCTGAAAGAAGGGCTATGAAGTCTAATTAAACCCTAAACCAAATTCTTTGGAAGCCCAAAAACCCAAATGCTAAAGCCGCCCGCCGATGAACTTGCAATCAGACCAGGACTTCCGTGGCTGGCTGGCTCGGCCTCGACCGTCGTGCCGGGCGCTGAATCGTGGCGGCATGGGCACGCAACCCGGTTGTGAGCTTGGGGTCTCAGACGTTTCGGGGCTAGGTCGCAGCAGGCGAATGTCATCTTCTCTCCTGTGGAGGAGTTCATGGTCATCGCATCTTGCTCGCACAAGAATGCTTTTCGATGCTTGCAGAGCATTAAGGAAGAGGGCGGGTATATAGCACATGCGAATTTCTATGCTCTACACTTGCAAGGTTTGGAGTCAGCTGCAATGTTCGCATGGTTGCACTGACACCGGATACACTTTTTATCTTGGATTCTGCAGCCAAACCCCCACGTGGCCTGAATACATGAAGATCATTCCTGTCAGGAAACATATGGGACATCTAAAGGGAAGAGCCCTTGCTTGGCCGTAAGCGTCCAAGCCCTGCTTTGCGCTTCGAGCGGCCTTCGGAGGCGTGGAGGACACTTTCAGGCTGCGTCATGATACGCTCTTTGCTGAATCGCCCCAGAAGATGTGGCGTGCAGACTGGACACACAGACACACACATACACATGCTGATTTCGCAACGGCCAATCGCTCGCGGCTTCCCTTTTCTCAGCTGGCACGACACGTCGTGGGCAACGAGTCTGCTAGCGGCGACGACTCTTCACAGCAATGCCAACCGTCACAAGGCCAAGAAAAACCAAGAGGATGGGAATGAGAACCGCGGCCGTCAGGAAAATCAAGGCAAGGATCGCAACGACGATGATGATGATGCCAACGACGATGGGGTTGGTACCTGCTTCCAACTGTGCTTGAAAGGATTCTTCCTTTGACAGTGCTACCCCGTTCTGAAGCGCTGATGAGACGTCGTGACGATGCGCTGCTTGCTTCAGCTCCTCCCATGCTGTTTTGTTGTCCATGATCTGCAGGGCGGCCCAAGTGTTTTCGCGCCTCTGCATCTCAGTTAACTCAGAAAGATGGTCATGGGGGATGTTTGCACCAAACTTCGTGGCCAACTGAACAAACGAGGCCTCGCTCTCGGCAAGGTTTTCTGCAAGGCTATCGACTTGCTTCAAGAACTTGTCGTCCTGCTTCATCAAGCGCTCTTCTCTGCAATTCGGTGTTGAGGTGTCGCAGTCGAGCACCTCCTGAGCCTCCTCGTCTGCTCGAGTCATGATCGTGCTAACATCCTCGTCCGTGATGCCTGGAAAGACCTTCTTCAGGAAGGCTTTAGACTCATCAGGTGAACCTGTGGCTCCCTGTCCCCTGGACTTTGCATCGTTCAAACCACTTACAAGATCCACCATGGAGCAGAAACTGTCCTTTGGCATTGCAGCAGCAAGGGTTTCCATGGAGTGGTCCACTTTGTCTGCCAACTCAGTGATCTTGCTTTTGAGGAGAGGGCCGCCTTTGTTTTCAGCCAAGACTTTATCATACTGCTCCAGGTCTTTCAGCTCATATGCGATAATACTCAACTCAGCGAGGGATTGACTCTCTTTGTAGGAGTCAATCTTTGTGGACACAGCACCCACGTCCGTCGCGTAGCCAGTCGCCAAGTCAGCGTCAGCCTTTACTGCACATGGTTCAGAAACCGTGCCAGAACCCGTACAAATTCTGGGATTGATGCAACCAAAAAGTAGCCCGTCACACAGTGGTTCTGCTCCATGGCGATAGATCTCCTTGATGCTTGCAGCGGCCTGTTGCAAATCAGCCACTTCCGTAAACACATCGACAGCCGTGCGCTCGGCATTCACCACATAGACTTCTTTTCCCGCCAGAAGAAAGAGAAAGAAGCAAACCTTCAGCTCCCTAGCGCGAGAGGAGCCGGCCATGACCATGGCGTCAACGGAAATTCTTCACAAACTACTGAAAGTTCAAGGTTTTGAGATCTTCTCGGCCACCCGTGACCGTTTGGAACGCTTCTCACGTGTCTCCCACACACATCCTCCTTGCAGAGAACGGCCAGAGCTGGTTGCCTACTGCAGCTGCCGAGCAAAAGAAGCTTTTGCATGTCTTAGCGGTTGTGTGATCGGGTGAAACGAGAGCTAGGCTGCCGCGTCTTATGCTACATTTTTGCAGCTGCGCAGTCGCTATGTGCGGGAGATTAAATCCGCTCCTGCAGCCGCTTTGAGACCGTCCGCAACTTGGTGTACACCTTGCCAGGCGCACTGCCCAAGATAAGACTGCAAATAGAGTCCCGGGCTAGCTTGATGTTGGCGAAGGAACCCAGAATATGGATCTTGTCTTCGCATAAGGAAATTCGTGTTCGGGTCGCATTTTCGATCGCATACTTCGTTTTGCCGTCCTTTCCCGCAATACGACCAATGCAACGAGATAGATGGTCTCCCTGCAGTCGCTTTACATCTTTCACCTCGAAGGACTGAATGAAGAGATCGTCCAAACGTAGCAGAGCCACGGCATCGGGCTGGTCAAACCCTAACATGAAAGCCTTCATGTAGTCGGAGGCCTTCTGAAGGTAGCCAATGTCAGGCGTGTGTTCAGAGTTCCGAATTTCTACTGCTCTTCTTTTCGTGTTCATCCGCACCTGCACGGCAGCACACACCCACAAGATTCACAAGACAACAGCCAAGAAATGCGAAACCACTCAAACAGTCAGAACTCCATTCTTGCAGACCAAAGCCTGCAGCTTCATGTGCTCCACTACTGGCTCGATGAGCTGAACCCAAGCGGCTTTCAAAGGAGTCATCCTGCACCAACGACTGTCTAGCAGCCGCTCTAGATTTCAGGGGCTGATGGGGCGCAGCATGGCGCTGAAAAAGCGGTGGAGCGCCTGCTGCTTGCTCTTGTGAAATTCTCACCAAGAAGAAGTCGTTGTTTTCTTTCTCGCTGTTCGGGGCAAGAACTCTGCAACTCGTTGTAGAATTGAATCATGCCGCGCAGCATTCTGATTCCAAAGCCTAAGAGTCCTAGAGATGCGGCCTCACCCACTGATGTGATCCATATGTGCTTGTGTATTTGGGTGCGCCAAAATGCGAACCTTCTGGAAGATGTGGTGGAGAAATAGACCGCTCACAACTATCAGTCACCCGTCCCAGGCCGGAACAAGCACAGACAGCGGCCATGCGCGTGGATTGCTGAAGAAAGCAACATAGACGATGGGCTGTGGAAGTCAACATCCTACTTGCCCAGGCCGAGCCTGTGTGCAGGTACAGCGATCCTGCGCATCTGCTTCTTAATCCCCTGTTCTTTCCTCAGAGCCAAGTGCTGCAAGATGCCTAGTTCCTGGATTGCTCCCAGACAATATTCTCGCCAAGTTTCGGGGTCAAAGCAGGGAAGTGCGGCTTGCTGTAGGGCAGGTCTGCTTCGCCATCATGCTTGTTATCTTCATCGATGGTCTCAACAATTACATCCTCCACCTCCGTCGGTTGGAAAACGATGCCGCTCTCAGATGACTGACCTGCACAGATCCCGAGATCCATGCAAGGTGTTGAAACACGCAGCTGGCCCCTGCATAGTGACTGTTGGCTAAACCCCTCACTCAGTTCTACCTCCGCGACGGATTGGCCCGTACTCTGTTCCACCCTCCTTCTCGTCCTCTAGGTCATCGTCCATGGGAACGGGTGTGTCAATTGCTTTTCCTGACATCTCGAAGTACTTCACTCTTGCTGCCGCCGGTAAGAATTTCTGATTGCAAAGGCTCGCGGATATCGCAACGCGAGAAACAGGCAGAACCCTATGCCCCTGTGTACAAAAGTGAGGTGTCGCGAAATCCCCAGAACTTGTTTGATGCCTGACCATGTCTTCGACTGGGCCACCTCTTTCGTCAAGAAAGCATGTGCACTTACACATCGTTCCAAAGCCAGAACCCTTGACACTATCCACTAGCTCGGCTGAGTCATGTCCTCAGCATGGTAAGGACATATGTACGTGGGACTATGCAACTATGTTTATCGGCATTTCCCTTTTGTCCTGCCCTGGACGCCCCAGACACTCCAGCTCATGTTTTGTTCATGTAGCAGTGGCACAGCAACATCTCATGTTTGTCCGATGATTCTCCTGCCCATTGCATCGGCTTTCACGGCTTCCCACTTGAATGAAACCGGTGAGGGGACCAAGAAAACTCGATGCCGCACGGCTGGATGTAACACACACGATACGCAGAAGTTGCATACGAAAAACATGCAGCCATGGCTCGTGCTATGGTCTCCATCGTCACGCCAGGTCCTCTCTGAAAGCACCAAAAGGGCAACACTCACATCTATTGCGCATGCGCAGAGTGCAATGTGCTGTCCTTTGCTGGAACGAAAAAGATAACGAAAGCTTGAGGAAAAATGGCCAACAAAGTTGTCGCAGCGCTGTTTCATGCAACCCTGATACTCACATTCACAGCATCGGCAGGTTCAGGTTAATCAATGCAACCATGCTCATGTGCAGCCACAGGATTGCCGAAGATGGACACTGGAGCTGGATGTAAGTTTCACACCTTGCCACGCAAGCAGTTCACTCTTTGCCTCGTTGCGACCTGGCCCGCGTGCAGGTTTTGCTTCTACGCAGACCACATGTGCTGTCGGTAGCAACTGTACTATACAATACGTCCACAAGGGGTATCACACAAATTCAAAATGTGCACTGACACTGTCGCAAGACATACTTTCGTGTTTCCCGATCTGGCACCACTCTACGTCTTAATCATCTCCTCCGCTACTTCCTTCTGAAGCGAGAATGAAAAACGATTATCCGTTGGTCACTTGTCGTCAATGCTGCCTTCAGTTTTTGATCGTGTGCGACTCGAAACACTCTTGATTGACTCCTGCGACATGTTGACACCTACCCTGGTCGTCCGGCACCCCGTCCGGCTGCGGAAGGCATCGCCCGCCTGCAGAAAATGGAATCACCATGAGTGGGTGCGCAAGATGAGTGAGTGAGCGAATGAAGGAACGAGAGTGATCGAGCCAGTGAGTGTAAATTTCTATTTTTCGAGGGCTCAGGGCACAGTGGCCTGTTGCCGGTGAGCACCGACTGCTTTGAGAAGTTAAAAATCTGCCTCTGAGAGCGGGGTCTACGGATGAGAGTCTTCCATCTCTCACGGCTCTGGCAATCGTGGTGGACCTTGCCATACAAAGGTGTGTTGTCCATTCGTACTAGAGAAGAGGTTCCATGAGCGGTCTGTGTATGTGATAGCGTGGGTATGGAGAAGAGCGCATTATGTATATCAGAGTTGGAAGGAGGAGCATCTGATGCTATGAAATCGATTCGCTGTACTGCCTCGGTCAGCCCAGTGCGGGCGTAGGCGTCCAGCTCTGCTTGGTCAGGCCACGTGTCTGTATGCATGAGAGCCCATGAATGTAACTTCATACTACAACGTCTCTACATGTCTGTACAGATTTCGAGACCGTATAGTTCAGATTTTCCGATTTGATGATAATGCGTCGAGATATACTCCTACATATTTAACCTCCTCTAAACGGGGTACCGTCTTAATGTCGTGATTATAGCCAGGACAAAAACGGCAGTCGCAGGGGCCAGAGTTGGAGGGTGAGTAATATAGGTGCTGATTCGAGTGTAAACGGAGATGTTCACACTTATCCTGATTGAGAGTGTCACCGTGATTTTGGATTTGGTGAAAGAGTCGATTGAGTTGCTGCTGAGCAGTAGAGTAAAGCCGTGTCATCTGCATATTCCAGGCGGAGATTTCAGCATACTGGATTTGATAGCGTTGTTCTACGTCAAAAAAGAGGTGTGCTAGGACTAGGCCAAAAAAATAAGGCGACAGGGGGCACCCTTGTCGGAGTCCCTTGTTTTTTATTTTACACCTAGATTTCTGTTACGAGTCTCTAACGATAAAATTGGGGTTAACACAGAGCGACGTTGTAACCTTACGGGTGTGAGCAGGGATCCCTACATGCTCCATAGCTGCCTGAATTGCGGTAAATGTAACTGAATCAAATGCCTTAGACCAGCATGAAACAGCGCTTTTTGCCTTTCGAACACCTCCAAGAGCCAGCACATAACGTGAATAGGCTGGATGGTGGGGCGATTTTTTCTGGGATGGAGGCCTGAGAATGGCATTGATTGTAATGATCAAGGAGATAGAGCTTAAGAACACAAGGCGTGTGTTTGTAAATTTCTCCTGGGACATCATTGGGACCAGGGGCTTTCCTAGGATTGAGTTTGCGTAAGGCGCAATCTTACATAATGACAAGCGTATCTATAGCTGGTATTTCTGGTTGTGGTTGAGTTACAGGTACTGCTGGGTCAGCTGCGGAGTACCATATCTTGGTAGAGAGATAACATGCAAATGTTGTTGATCGTTGAGAAGAAAGACTGGTTTGCCTTCGAGGTTGTGTAGCCCGTGGAGCGAGGTTCAAATTCTGGTCGAATCTGCCTAGCATGTGTCCATTGTTGTACGGAGCTTCCTCGAAAATCGGAGAGATGTTGTGCAATGAAGTCCTTTTTATCTTTGCACGCGGCCTTTTTAATTTGGTGCCTGGCTCTTTTAAGGGAGGGAACATCTTGAAACGTGGTATGTTGAAACTCATCAGTTTGTTCAGAGTACCGTGGGAGATCCAGGGCTTTTTGGCTGCTTGCGGAAGGAGGGGTATGAGGTTTATGTGCGATTGGATCGATTCCGTAAGAACGGTGTCTTGTTGAGTGGTGGTGTTAGAGGACCACTGCTCCTGATTAAAAGCAATTTCCGGGCGGGAGAGGTTGCACTGGCGTATGCCCCAAACGGCCCACGGAGGAGCGCCTGTGAAAGCCTCTTTTAGTCAGAGACTGTCTGCAAGCTCGTTGCCGGGAATTCCTATGTGAGAAGAGACTTTAAGTACAGTAGTACGATATTTACAGCGGACAGCCGTGTAATACTTCTGGGCTAGTGTAACCAATTGGTGGTGAATGGGAGAGCATCTCGTTGAAGTACAGAGAGCGCATACGCAGAATCGGTATAAATTACCAATTGGAGCAAATCTGGGTACGGGGAATAGAAAAGGAGAAAATCGAAGAGTTCTATGATAAGGGCGTTTAGTTTTCCAGTGTTATTGGAGCCGGGTAGTGGATGAATAATTCCAGTGGGATTGGTTGTATTAGGGCCCCAGGCCCTGATCCAAGTATCGTCCACCGGGTGGTGGTCGGAAGGGTCGGCGACTTTAGTAACAGTCAATCCCCAACCCGGCAAGGTTATCAAAGGAGACCACTCTGTACAGGAGTCATCGGTATACGCCAAGATGAAAGGTGCATCGACGTGCTCTGTTTTGAGTTCATCGTTGGTACTAGAGAGGAAAGAGGGTTCTATGGCCTTATAGAAGGTAGCGAGTTGCGTATAGTCAAGTCGGTCTTTTCGAGGGGGGTGTGATGTTTCCAAAATTTGTGTCTGGATGGTAAACGACAACGGCAGGTGTCTGGAGTTTACAAGTTTTGAATTCGTGTGCCACTAAAGGTGACAACTTCCCTAAGGGACTGTGGTCTTCTGAGATAGACCAGAATCATCCATTGGAGAACGTCTTCTGACAGGAGAATGTGATCAGCGCAGTCATCTCCTTATAAGTTACTGTACGGCGAAAAGGGAGATCGCTCAAAGTTTGCGGGAGATAGCCGCCATGGGCTTCAAGAAAATCCATTAAAAATATAGCCTTGTCTCGTTCTGGTTCAGGTATGGTTTGGCGTCGGCCTATAACGCCTGGGCCTGACTGGGTGTGAGCAGGGTCAATATTAGGATCTAATCGTGAGTTACAATCACCCACTAGCAAGAGAATTGTGGCATTGGGGTGATTTAACATAAGGTCCGCCAAATCTGCCCAGAATTGGGCTTCTTGGGCACGGTCTATCTCAGGAGTCTCCACTGTACTGGGAGCGTATATATTAACAAGCGTGATAGGATGAGGCAAGGTGTCCATTGTAAGTTCACATACACGCGGTGAGTGGGGCTTGAAAGTCTTTAACATGCGACCTAAGTAGTGGGGAAACAAACAAATCCTACCCCATGATGTTTTGCTGTGGGGAGGCCGGACATCAGAATTACCCAACCATTCGTGGTAAACGTATGAGAGGAGTCCACTTTGGTTTCCTGGACGCAGAAAAGCGAGACTTGTAACTGTCTACAGTAACTAATGATACTGTCGTATTTCGCGACCTCGCGTAAACCTTCTACGTTCCAAGAACGGAGATGCAGATGGGTTGCAGTAAGCAGAGGAACTGTAAGTGTGCTAGTAATGCGTGTGGTTATATTATAGGTCATCTCGTCATCGAAACTTCCCTCACCCCACATTGCGAGCGGATGCAGCTTGACCAGAGGGAAATCCAACCGATTGATCAGAACACACGTGTCGCGGCCATCGGCAGTCAGAAAGCAGATGGCGTGGGGAAGCGAAACCAACTGTTTCCCATTGGTGCCACCCAATCCCCCCAAACTTCGCCCTGCTGCCGTCCTTGTCCTGCACCAGCGGCAGAAAAAGAAATGTGATTGTCTCGGCAGCTGAAACGATAACCGTAGCGATCTCTGCAAAGCAAGAGTAAATCAATAGCAAGACTAGGCGCCGCAACCCCACGCTTTTCACGGCCCTCTAGCGGTTCGCAGCTCCTCGCACCTTCCCACCTCTGCTCCAATGCTTCCGAAA